GAACATTTTATGATTAAATTTTGCTCTCGGCAAAATCTCCTCCTTAGCCTTGATTAATTTTTGGCATTCGTTGCAAAAGTTTCTCAATGTATAAGTCTCACAATTGATTCCATTCTTTTTTTTTTTTTCGATGACTCTAAGAGCTCTTTTCCATTTTGGGGTGAATGGTTTCATTCTTCTGTCAACTTCATCCCATGCTAATTCTGGGGGGTTACTAAAAACTTCAAACATTTGAACAGTAGCGTATATATATATATATATATATATATATATATATATATATATATATATATATATATAGGTTTTAAAGCAATTGAGAAAGTGTTTATATGAGTACATATAAGTGATTTGCATATATTCGTATATCTGTGTCTTCCTTTGTCTGCCTTTTATTCACCCTTATGAATTTGTATGAATATACAAAACCCAATTAAAACATGAATGATCATGTTCGAAAACTAAACACTGTATGACCACACCCAATGAAAATCCAGACCATATTTATACTCACCAACATAGTCTTGTTGATAATGACGAGTGTTAATACTGAGCTTCAAAGCCGCCAAGAAAATATGTTTTCATAATATAAGAACTCTACACGCTGAGCGTGCTCATCTGGCCAGTAAATATTATTCCTGTAAAAAAGAATGACTGGACATGGATGATTTCAAGTGACTATTAGCTGATTTTATCGTTCATAAAAACAGTACTGTAGTCGTATGTCTCATGGAAATATTTATTTTCTCAATAATTTGTTGTGGTCGCCTGCTTTTATGAAAAATGTGCACTCGGCCGCCATTGTTCACTTGCCGGCCATAATGCTAAACTTAAAAATTGTTCTGGTAAGGATCGATATTTTACCTCTTTTTAAAGGTTAGCTGAAGAGTTCCGCATTGTAGTGTTTGTCGGTGTTGTCTTAATCCGGTAAGAAAATAACAGAGAAAATATCGACTGATAAGGGTATGGAGAGTGAGAAAAGTATCGAAGAAAAGAAATATGGACATATTTCATAAGTTTTTTGAATTGAAGAAATAGAGAAAATGAGAAAAGTATTATCATGAAAATAACAGAATTAAATCAATGATTTTAGCAGTAAATAGTAAGGAAGAAATAATGCCATAAAAAGAAAGATTATAGACAAAAAATCAAGGAAGCAAGAAAGAAGAAAAGATGGCATGATGGATTGAGAAGTGAAACATGATATAGGCTAAAACAGAGAAGATCGAAGAGGGATGTAAAGATAAATGAATAGAAGGTGAGTGAAAGAAAGAAAGAAAGAAAGAAAGAAAGAAAGAAAGAAAGAAAGAAAGAAAGAATGTTATGTTGAATAGTAGAAAGAAAAAACAGGCATGACGCTACAGTTGTGCGAGAAGAACGGTAGAGTGAAATAGGAGAAATAAAGAAGGAAAGAAAGAAACTGAGGAAAGATGTTGTACCTCTTCTTTTCGAGATAACAGACAGAAATAAATAAGGAAGACAAACTCGTAGGTAAGTAATGAAATAGAAGGATTACTATACGAAGATCCACTTTAGCAATTGACCTAATGTTCACTCTTCTCAACTCCGCCCACATCCGCTTATTTACATAAACGGACGATTCCATTCATTTATGTCCTATATGACAGAAGAAAAGATAGTATAAAAGGATGATAGGATGGAGAAGTAAAAAGATATGTTACGCTAAAGTTGTGTGAGAAAGAAAGAAAGAAAGAAAGAAAGAAAGAAAGAAAGAAAGAAAGAAAGAAAGAAAGAAGAACATGGTAAGTTGGATTGAGTAATAAAAAAGGTATATTACACAAAAGTTGCGTGAGAAGAATTATAAAAAATAAAAAGAAGATGTAAAAAATGAATGAAGAAAGAAAGAAAGAAACTTAAGGGAGGAAAGATGGCATGTTGGGTTGAGTAGTAGAAAGAATAAAAAACAGGCTTTACACTAAGGTTGTATGAGAAGATCGGCGGAGTGAAAAAGGAGAAAAGAAAGAAACAAACAAAGAAACAAAGAAGAAGGAAGAAAAGATGGTAGGCGGATTGAGTAATAAATACAGTTATATTACGCTAAATTGGTAAAAAAAAAAGAAACAAACAAACAAAAAAGAAGATTCTAAGTCGGATTGAGTAATAAAAAAGATGATATTGTTCAAAATTTGTTTGTGAAGAAAGATACAACTGAACAGAAGAGGAATGTTAAATCAAAGTAGAAAGAATGAAAAAGAGACATGAAGTTAAAGATGTGAGAGATCAAGAGTAGATTAAAAGAAAGGGCAAAAATAAAAGAAAACAAAGGAAAGCAAGGAAGAAAAAAAGAAGAGCAAAGTTGAATGGAACGATGCATTAATTTAATGTTGCATGAAAAGAATGGTAATGGAGAGTGAAAGAGGACACATAATAGAACCAAAAAATGGAAAAAAAAAGACAGAAAAGAGGACATATAAGAGAAAGAAAAGGAGAAAAGGAGAAAGAAAAGAGGACATATAAGAGAAAGAAAAATTTAATGAAAGAAATTTTGCATATAACAGAAAGAAAAGAAAGGAAAAGAAAAGAGGACATATAACAGAAAGAAAAGGAGAAAGAAAGGAGGACATATAATAAAAGAAAAGGAGAAAGAAAAGAGGACATATAACAGAAAGAAAAGGAGAAAGAAAAGAGGACATATAACAGAAAGAAAAGGAGAAAAGGAGAAAAAGAAAAGAGGACATATAAGAGAAAAGAAAAGGAGAAAGGAGAAAGAAAAGAGGACATATAAAGGAAACAAAAATGGAAAAGGAGAAAGAAAAGAGGACATATAAAGAAAGAAGAAAATAAGAAAAGGAAAAGAAAAGAGGACATATAACAGAAAGAAAAGGAGAAAAGGAGAAAGAAAAGAGGACATATAACAGAAAGAAAAGGAGAAAAGGAGAAAGAAAAGAGGACATATAACAGAAAGAAAAGGAGAAAAGGAGAAAGAAAAGAGGACATATAACAGAAAGAAAATAAGAAAAGGAGAAAGAAAAGAGGACATATAACAGAAAGAAAAGGAGAAAAGGAGAAAGAAAAGAGGACATATAACAGAAAGAAATGGAGAAAGAAAAGAGGACATATAACAGAAAGAAAAATGGAAGTTAAGAAAGAAAAGACGGCAGATAAAAAAGAAAAATGGATGAGAAGAAAATAAAAAGAACGAAAACTAACTGAAAAGGGAAATGAAATAGATATTTACAAGCAGTAGAATATAGTTTCACACTAAGGCGTGTAATATCAACCTCAAAGAAAGAAATTGTCATTAATGAAGAATATATATATATATCTAAGAAATGTCATTAATGTAATCTTTTATTTCTCGATCGAGTGATTTTAAGAGATGCGTAAAACTTCCGGCGAAACATGAACACATCCGGTTAATGTGACAAATAGAAATCTAAGTGAGTCAGTTAAAATTCAGCGAGTGTTTGGACAGCACAACTTATACCTATAATTTAGGCTAGAAGTAAACAGATACGCATACATTATAGTTATATACACTGGAAAAGTTAATAAAAATCGCACACGCACACAGACACACACACACACATATATATATATATATATATTAAGAAATGGACAAGGTCAGACAATTTATTTATTAAAGACATTTTTTTATGTTTAACGTTGTTATTTTATAGATACAAGTATTTAAGAAAATGCTCTGTTTATGATAAACAGTATTAAATAACATTTACCGGCCTGAATGTCCGAGAAATTTTCATAGAAAATTTCTCGGACATTACGTCTGGATTAGTAAGAAAAAATATATAAATACATACATACATATGTGTGTGTGTGTGTGTGTGTGTGTGTGTGTGTGTGTGTGTGTGTGTGTGTGTGTGTGTGTGTGATAAAATATCAGGGATAGAGTCTATGTAAATATAAAATGGATATTGAGGTCACCATTTATTGAGGCGACAGTCTGATGCGCAGACCATGTGCCTTGCGTTTTCACTCGACTATTTATGTATTCTGGTCAGTAGTGCATTATGGGTAGATCTATTGTATCATTCTAACAGTTATTGGGTGGCCGATAACGTTTTCAAATTATTCTAGAAGCTATCGAGTGAAAATAATATGCAGATTTGTGGTTATTTTATTTATAGTTGTTCGTTAAAGTTTTTACTTATTATTTATTACTGATTACTTTATTATTTGTTTTGATTGCTATATTACGTTTATTTCTGTTTATATTCGTAGTTTGTTGATTCGTTTATTATTTATATAATTTGTTTACTTATTGATTTGGATTAATTTAATTTACGTATTTCTTTTAATATTTGTCTTTGGTTTTCGATTTTTAAGTACCACAGTAAAAATTTGTTTCCTTGTCTGCACTTTGAGATAGGTTCTGATCGTTTATTTAGTAATTTGTGTTGATTTGGAAAGGTAATTATATCTACTCCTCCAAAAAGAGTTTACAGTTTTGGGATTTATTGTAGACTTACGCTGTTTTCCAGGATCTTTTGGGTGTGATTTGTTTTTGTTTTTAATTTCTCATATATGTTTAGAAAGTATTGTGCTGTTCGAGTGTATACTATGTGTAAAGGATGTTTTGTGTGCGTATTTTCTTTGTTTCCAGGGTCCTTCAGTTTTTCTCATGTTTCCTTCGTTATCTGCAGATTTTATAGTGGCTTGGTATATTACATTACTCAGGAAGCAATTGCCGTTTAAGGAATATTGTTTTCTTTTCTGCAGTTACACGTGGGTTTGATTTGTGCATTTTCTTGGTTGTTTTACTGTTGTGCTTTTTGTTATTTGTTTTATATTCTCGGTGCAACTGTGACTGATTTTTACTGTGTTTTTGTTGATTATTTTGTGGAGAAGGTTTGATGGGAGACATAGTTTGTGTATGATTTTAATGAATATTTTTCTTACGTTTGTTTTTACGTTTTTCTCATACGGTGAGTTGAACCATATGATATTTCTTTTCCTGTTGGCTTTTTTGTGATGTGTATGTCGGTGCTGCCAAAAATCCACTATCTTTTAGTGTTGTTTCATAGTCTTTCTTGGCATCGTCGAAGACAGTTTCACCGGAAGATTTGTCAGATAACTCGCAAGGGGTTGGAAGAGGTGTGTATATAAAGTGGTTTGTCGTCAGGTTTTCTGTATAGCTGATGTGTACCTTTTCTTAGGTTGAATCTAACATCAAGGAAATCTATTTCTTTTAAGTTAATTTTATGTCTATTTAGAGTTCCTTATTTTTAAAATGTTTATTATTATTTTTTTGGTTTTGTCTGTTTTTTGTCTGTTGCAATTTCTTAAGATTATGAGACCGTCGTGCCTGTAGAGGCCTATACCCTTTTTATCGATTATTTTACTTAGTTCATGTATACCTATAAACTCACAGGTCTCTGCACCATCAATGATTACCATTATAATGTCAAAGGTTCCTTCTTTCTTCATACACACGTCTTCGTTTTCGAATAGTAGTAGTTTTCGGGAATGTTTAATAATTTTTTTTATTTTTTGTGCTTATTTTAATATTTGTTCTTCAGCTAAGGAGGTGAACATATCCAGCATAGGTTATTGATGTGGGGGCCAAAGTTGGGACCACAGAAGGAAAATACGGAACACGGATTAGATGTAAGAAAGATATATTAACAGCAGGTTACAGAGATAGTGTAAGCGGAGCTTGCTATATGTTAGTGTCCAATACTGGTAGTCGTACGCGGCTCTCACTGTCTCTCTGTCTGTTGTGTCGCATAGTTAATATACACCTGGAAGAATCTATTGTGTAGGTAGTTTCCGGTCTCACAATAGTTATGTTATAGAAGGGGAGAAATCTTTTATATCTAGTTGCATAAATTCGCAGTTATCTTTGGTTTTCGGGTTGCTCAACCAGTCTAAAGTTGTTTTGTATTTTTCAGTGGAAGAACACAAAAAGGGGTCTATTGTCTTTGGCAGCAGAGAAGGAGAACTCTGAAATCAAACCCATGAAGAAGATAATGGGAAAACACTCAATTATCTTTCACAAGAGGCCATAGTAATTCGTAGATAATCATGAAATGAGAAACGTTGATAGCCATGATGGTCTATTTCCTCATGGGACATGACATATTTTTCTTAATTCGCTTCTTATCAAAAGGCTGTTAGCTCCATCGCCAGCTCTGGAAGAGGCTAATAAACTGTATATTCCTCCAAAGAAATATATATGAAGTTCTTTAACGAAACAGATCGTAAGATATAAGATCTAAATAAAGTTGGGATGAAAGGGAGAGAGAGAAAAAAAATACGTTAGAAATACATTTTATAAAGATTTTTTGGCAAACATGAATAAACGTTCCCGCAAACGAACGGTTTTTTTTTCATTGAGATAGGTTTTTTAACTACCTTCACTCTTCGGTAATGTTTATTGTTTTAAAAAGCGATGATCAGAATTGTAATAAAATCTAAACATATAATAGTGAATTTATACATTTTCTTTGTTCTTGTTTATTGACATAGAAATAATAAACATAGAATAATAATAATAATATTTATTTATTAGATTATTTATTTACTATATTATTTACGGAAATGTTTGGCAGAATATTGCCAATTGATTCAAACTTTATAAAATGTTAAATATTAAGGATTTCCTTATAGTTGATTTGTAGAGGACCGTGTGGGTTTGTTGTTTTGTTGAATTAGGAACACGTGCTGTTTATTTCCTGCTAGAAGAAGGTCCAACTACAAGAAAATGGCGGACTCAAGTTGAGTCCAACCAAAGATGTAAAGAAAACAAACAAGACCGATATATATATTTATCAACAAATATATATATATATTAAACAACAAATTTACAAGTGACAAAGACATTAACATTTGTGTTTGTGTGTGAGCGTAAAGAGATTGTTCTTGGGTGAATGTTCGTACGTACGTGTTTCATGGTGTTTTCCCAGAAGTGGGCAAAAACGCTGATCTCCGTGAGAGATTAAATTTTAAAATGTGTCCGCTGAAATGCAAAGTAGAAAAAGAGAACGACGCAATAAATTTCCCAGTATTTATAGTGTATGGAGAACGACCCCTGGTGAACAATTAGGGAATTAAGGAGGAGCGAACTCCGACAGGTTCCATATTCTAAGAATTTAGTAAATGCTTATAAATTTATGGCTAAAAATTGTTTTCACATTTCTTTCTTCATAAATTAGTAAATGATAAATATTGCATTGCATTAGTTTTAATTGTATTAGTTTGTATAATGTTGCAAGAATAAAATTATTCTCGTAAATAATCTAATAAATAAATAAAGTGTTTATTTTATTGTCAATTCTCAAGAACAAATAAAATGTATAAATTCACTTTCATCATATGTTTAGGTTTTATTCCAATTCTAATGATCGCTTTTTAAAACAATAAAGATTGCTGAACAGTGAAGGTAGTTAAAAAAAAAGCGGTGTTATGGAAAAACCCGTCCCTTTGACACTACGCCTTATCGCGGGCACGTTTATCCACGTTTGCCAAATTTTTCATTTGTTACATTCATAAAAGTTAAGCATAATTCTTTTCTTTTTAACGAGAAGCTATAAGATGACAAATGGATAGGCCACGTTTAAAAAAAATGTAAGCGATATGCATTAATAAAATATGAACGTTATGGTCGTAAATTCATCCATATCCCCTAACTCGGTGTAAATTTTATATTTGCTTCATAAAAATATATCTTAATGTAGAGACAAAGACTGTATTAATGTATAATATAAAACCTTGGTTTTCAATTATTAGGGAAAAGGCGATTTATGATTCATCGTTTAACAAGTTTAGAATTGCTGCAAATGGCTACAAAGTAAAGCAGATAATAACACTATTAACAAAAGAAAGATGGCAGTAAATGAAAGGTTTATCTTTTCTTGCAACCTCCATTATTTAATATAAATATTATCAACTCTACATGACTTAATATTGAAAATGCAATGGGGAAAGAATGCGTTTTAAAATACTTGTGTATACCGATTTTACAAGCCTAGCTTAGATGTGGCACAAGGCCGAAAGTATCGGGCACCTAGTGAGGAACGAACTTACAACTCAGTAGTAATTGTTCTAGCGAGACAAGCGTACTAACCATTACACTGCCTTGAGGGGCCAAAAATACTCCTGTATAAGTTGAGATTTTAAAAGCAAATTTTCAAACGAAAACTTGGGGGTTAGTTGATTCATATTTTCGTTAAATTAAAATTCGTATATTGAATGGAAGGCATAAAAGTATCTTTAGACATAAATATATTCCCCGCTTATAGCCAATAAACAATGGACCAATTATTAATACACATATAAGTATTATTGTTAAATGTCAGGTTTGAGTTTATTAAATAAATTTTCAACTCAATAAGCAACGAGATTTTGGGATAACCCAAAATATGAAATAATTTTTGGGAAAAATTAGCGAAACAAAAGGTGGTTCAGCTGAATGCTTGTCTCGTCTTTTCTTTTTTAACTGCATCGTTATAGAAATTATTAGATTTTATCTAATTTCAACTTTTTATTATTTATTTACTATTTTTCAAGGTTGAAATGTTGCTTCAGCCCTAAAACAGGAGATAAACTGAAATATCCAAATTGTGTCTGTCTTTATTTCTGAGATGAGGTATATGTACATTATTTACATTATTCGGACTATTGTCCTCATCTTTGTCGCTATATTTATTACAACGTTTCGGCCGTTGTACGCTCCGGCCTTCTTCAGGTGGTTGGAATGTCGAACTGAACCCTTTATTTCACCGTTGTTGGGAAGGCTCTTCCATAGGGGTCTGAGTCACGCCACACAAAATAAACAACAAAAAGTTTGGCTAAACACAAAAACTTAAAATATAACACTCAAAGTATCAATATGGACAAATAGGTGACAGATGTGAAAGTAAAATGGACTTACTTAATTTTTCCAAAATTAGGAAGCATCTTACCATTATAGCAATTATTTTTATAAATACAAATGTAGAAAAGAAAGAAAAAAACTAACTTCCTTTCCTAAGAGAACAAAAAATTCCAAGTTTATTCCCAGTTGTGGCTATGGATTGTTTGAATCTTCTTTTTCTTGTTATTTTCTTTAATCAACTTGGTGCAGTTCTAGTTCCACCTAACATGTTTGATGGATATCAGTTAATTTTCCTCTGAAAGTTCTCCACTGCCTTAATTGGGTATTGAACTCACACTCTTTGGGTCATGTCACTGGATCTAACCAACGCCTTTATCCACAGTGCCATGTGTCCTTGAGTCAAATGGCATAGTGGATTAAAGGCGTTCAATTCTGGGTATGAATTTCTGAATATTATAAACCTAATGTCTTCAGCAAGTCAAATTGTTGTATATTAATCATAGGAGACTCAAATCACGACACTTTCAATGCGTTGTTTCTGAGTATATTCCTTTTATTAAAACGATATTTTCTAATTTGAAATTGTAATATTCCGGTTATTTACATTTTTAGTGAGTGTACTCCTAAATTTTACATCCTCTTTCTCATCATTTACTTTAAATTTAGAGAATGTTTCGCCGATGTATTTTGAGGATATTCTCTATTTGCTAGACTCTTGCTTCGGATGTAAAATTATTTCACTGTTTTACATTGATTCACCTTTTAACTGTTTTTCAATTGTTTTGTAATCATTTTTATATTTCAATTAGCTGAATTTCTTTCAAGTTCATTCGTTATGAAGTTAATTGTGATAATATTGTAAGCCTACTTTTTATTTTCTCCTTTATACATTTTTTTTCATTTTTGTTTTGTGGATTTTGTACTCTTTTTTTCTGGCATTGTATATGAAACTACTAGTATATTAGAGGGTTTTTAAATACTTTCAATATACTTTTCTTCATCAGGTAGATAGTCTAACTATTATTAACGAGAATCTACACAATGCCTTTGTCGGAGTTAGCTCCTCCTTAATTCCCAAATTGTCACTAGGGGTCATTCTCCCTATACTATAAATACTGGGCCACTACAATGTAAGCTCTCTTAGAAGATCCGCGTCTTCCCATTTGTGGGTGACGCCATGAACATTATACACACATACACGTACGAACATTCACTAAAAATACGAACATTCACCAAAGAACAAGCACCAATGTTTACACACACGCAAATGTTATTATCCATTGTAAACTTGTTTTGTTTAATATATATTTGTTTTATATATATATTTATATATATATATATATATATATATATATATATATATCGGTCTTGTTTGTCTTCTTTATCTTCAGTTGAGCTTAATTCAAGTACGGCCATTTTCTTGTAGTTGGACCTTTTAATATTCTACCAGGAGTTACACACGTATTTCTAATACAACAAAACGCAAACATACACGGTCCTCTACACCTTCACACGTTGAGTTTAACATACGTACAATAGGCTTAGATCGGCGGATGTACTTTCATCTAAGCTGAAATGCTTCTCACAAGCTATTTCCTCAGTAGTCAGAGGTCTATGAAAAATATTCGATATTTTCACGCTTAATATTATAAACAACCTATTACTGTTTGCATTAATGTGAAGTGATTGCTGGTATAACGAGAAAAATTCTCTTTATTCGTCACAGTTTACCAAACTGTTAGGGTGTTTGCTAAGTAATTGAGTTTTTTTTATAAAAAAAATATAAAAACAAGTGTAAGTTAAATTTATTTAAATATGGAGGTGTTCGTAAAGTAATATCGTTTTCCATAGAAATGATATAGAAATCTAATAGAAGTTACATTTATTTAAATAATGTTAGGGCAAAAGTAATTACGTTCTCCCAGAAAGGATATTAATGAAAACAATTTTCAATGATAAGCATCCAACACAAAGGCAAATTTTTGATTCCATGTTCAAATTTCAAAAAAAAAAAAAGTTTGAAAGACTTTTAAACCTTCTGTTTTCAATGAAATATTTGTAATGATCAAAATAAATGAAAATTTGTCGATGATAAATCTGGTGAGTATGTAGGCTTTGGAATATGCCCCACCCCATACGAAAGGTCTTATTTATATATATTTTATAAAGTTTTATATTTTGATAGATAATAGACAGATAGATAATGTTGAAATGAAATAGATAAAATAAATGATAATAGATAGATAGATAGATGAACGATGATAAATAGATCTAGATAGATAGATAGATAGATATTTATAGAAAAGGTGGAGATAGATAGATAGATAGATAGATAGATAGATAGATAGATAGATAGATAGATATTCAACTCAAATTTCACATCCGAACATTGATCAGGTGCACCAGGTATTTGACCTGATTTGAATTCCCGGCTACCGAACGTAGAACAAACACATAAAATATCTGGGAGTAAGTTGACGAAATCTACGGTTTGAATAGAAGGTAGTATTAGCTATGAAAAGTAAAGTCCCCTGTTATAATTTTGTCGGTACCCCTACTTCATCATAGATAGATGGTAATATGCGACTCGATTTCGAGCAATGCCGTCGCTTGATTCATCTTCAAATATATGTGACTTTTTAGTGCTGCTAGAGTCTTACATACTCTTGTGTAGATGTGGTAACGTTGGACGTCTTTTGCAGTAGTTGTTACATAAATGCCGCATAATGTGTAATGAATAACTTCTCTATGCATGTGTGTGTGTGCTCTTTTGATTGGCTGATTTGATTTTTTACGGCTTATCAAGCCTTTGCAGGTTTTTTTAATGCCAGAAAATATTTTTTAGATTGTAAGATGTTTTTGGTGATAATAATGATTTACTGGCACAAGTCTTACTAATTAACCCATAGCTGGGAGGAAGAGAGTTTGGTTCATAAGTTTCCGTAGGGTATTTGCGCATAAGGGAATAAAAAGAACCCAGTTGGAATTGGAACTCGGCTCTCCGATAAACAATTCTGAACCGTTATCCATTACACGAGACGCAAATCTAAGCTTACAGTAACTGGTATTCAAGACTCTTACAACCATCATAGATAGATAGATAGATAGGAACATAGAGAGATAGAAACATAAATAGAAAGAAAAAAGAAACAAACATAGAAGGAAACAAACATAGATAAAAAGAAAGAAACAGATAGATAGATAGATAGATAGATAGATAGATAGATAGATAGATAGATAGATAGATAGATAGAACGCCAACTTTGCCACAAAAAATTCATGGAGCAGCCATGAGAAACGACACCAGTAAGCAGAACCGAATTTAGACCTTAAGAAGCCATTGGCCTAATAGAATTTAGCTGCCTCTTCATTACGTATGTTTTCCCCATCCCGTGTCTATAAAATAAATTTTTTAAAAATCATATTTTTAAACGATGCATTTTGGGTGTAAAACATGAAACATTCCAGGTAAAATTTTTAATGATTTTGGAACTCATTAAATTGATTCCATTAGCAATTTCCTGATATTTTTCATCCGAATTTTACATCCTACAGCAATGTATCTAAAATGAAGGGCCTGTATTACACGCTCATAAGATCTAGTATTTAGATTCACTGGCAAAACATACTTAAAAGCATAACAATTTTGGAGCCCCATTAAATCAGAAAATAAGCAAATCACTTTTGTTCTTATATCTTTAGTTGTTTTTTTTTTAAGTTTTATCAAGGACTCAAGACGCCCTTGGTATGTGGGGAGCATTTGTCTTGCCACCCCTGGGTAGTAGCCCATATGTAAGTCCGGCACTGTCAATAAGTATGAATGAAAATCTTAACGCGCTGAGTATCGGTCAATGGTGGATGGTTTTGTATAGAATCGCATGAAAAATCGCACGCATGCGCGCTTGGGAATGTATACACAGATCATTCAACGAATGATGCGATAGCAAATGCCAGTGATGTGCGTGATTTTATTTGAAAAGATAATCTCATAAGGAATCCGTATTCCTGATATTCTTCGCCATAATTCAAAGGCATTTTTGAACACTTGCTGGGGCTGTCACCAATTCAGGGGTACTGCAAGCGAAAACAGCAGACTACCTTACCATGAATCAAACTAAGTCGAGGTCTTTTCCTGTTCAAAGTTACGCGCAACTTTCGTAGCAGAGGTCGAAATATCGTACTTGTCGATTTATAAGAAGCACCATCTTCCTTTTTTCCCCAAACAAAACATCTTCACATTATACAGTACAGACATGCTTCCTAGGAATAAATTCATTTTCTTCTATGTACCGCGTCTCTTCATGACAGGCGTTCACGGCTCTTCACAATTTTCTATCTTAGTAGTTTTTCTCCTTTTATTAAGGTCCTCGCCCTCCGTTCTGCCACCCATTCCCACAAGCTCAACAGCTAAATGACTAGCTACCTTCCCCTCTCTTACTTTCAATATACCCCGTGATTGTTAAGCTTTCTAAGCCCTCCTTCCTCATTGTGTTTCCAAGTTATTCCAGATGTTTTTTTCCTGATTCTGATTATAAGTGTTCTTTCTGTTGCCATAACCTCCAACTCACTGATGCCAGACAGGACTGACCTAGCAAAAAAAGTACCACGCATGCGTAGTTCGTAGTAATCACTCACGTGATGCTATTCGACCCATGAAAGTCAACGGTGACAAATTCCAGTTCTTGGAAGCCATATTTTTTTTATTTTTTATTTTTTTTTTTTACTGGGGGTTACGAGAAACTCAAAATTGCCAAAATTCCCGCCCCTAATTTTCACGAAGAACAATCTTACGAGTACGCTTTTAACCGAAAAAACAAGTATAGAATGAATGAACAAACCTAAAAATGTTAACTCAGATCACTTTCACAAGTAATTCATATGGCCATATCTATATAGACAAGCCTATCACATAGTTACATTATTTCATCAGAGATATTCGTTGTTTAAACCCTGTATAGCTCGTTTATTTCAGCAAAAAGCTAAGCTCATCTTGTTCATATCTCCTTTTCTTTTCCCCCGTTCTCATCTCTCTCTCTCTCTCTCTCTCTCTCTCTCTCTCTCTCTCTCTCTCTCTCTCCACAATTCACCCGTTACCTACTACTTAATTTTGGCTATAACTGAATGTTGACCTTCCATCAACAAAACTAATAAATAACATACCAACAGTTGCTTTCTCTCCTTACTTTTAAAGACTGACTTCTCTATATTAATATTAGTGACTAGCAGTAGAGCCCGGCGTTGCCCGGGGATGTAACAGTAAGAAATAGATCAAGTATCGACCATCATAAAGACTGAAAAATAAAATTGACAAAGATTATTGTTTAAGGTTGACGGACACGCATGTCTTAATTAGTTTTTTTTTTTTTTACGAATTTGTCAGACTCAAACTCAAACAAAAACATTGTTTTCAATCGTTGTGAGTCTACCGATTGAATAGAATTTTATTATAAACAATTGTCTTGTAAATGGAATTTTTAAAGTATTCTGAATGTAAAAATAAAGAAAAAGTGTGCAAGAAAATAAGAAACACTACCTGCCAAAAAAAAAATGAAGTTTTGTTGAAATCGGTTGAAAAATGTAGGAAATCCGATTCCCTATATAAACGAACACACACACAAACAACCTGGGTTTTATAATAAGTATAACTCGATATGAGTTGTCCCCCTTTCATTCTCGTGATGCCTCTTAATCGTGTTTTCAAATTGATTTCGTGCAAAAACAATTGTGTTTTTCCCATTCTTGGCGCTGTCAGAACCACCGCAAGGTAATTTTACGTAGTCCTGTGAAGTTTTGTTGAAATCGGTTGAAAAATGTAGGAAATCCGATCCAATATATAAACGTACGTACGTACACACACACACACACACAATCTGCGTTTTATAATAAGTAAGATTAATATCAACAAGCCTATGCCTACAACAGTTGCCAGTACGTTCGTTTTGTGAAATGTGGCTGATCACTTAAGGAATTGCTTGAACAGGTAAGGATTCGTGATAATTTGTGGAGAGCAGTTGTCCAAAGATTGTTCTCGTAAAATGTACGTCTAAGAGGCTGGCAAATAAAGTCATTTAACGTAACTGATGTTTGTAAACAAACAGGTGATGAGTGTGTCTTTAAATATTCGAGAAATGAAATCATTCATTACATCATTTGTTTACTGGTTCATGTATAAAATATGTTCAAATTCTACTTATAAGTAAATTGTTCTTTTATTGTTCTCCCGTCTTAAAAATGTTTGTTTTCTCATATTCTCCCACACTCAGTAGCCTCTTGCATCTTAGTGGCTTTTATGCCTTGCTTGGGGTGAAATGATTAAGAAGAAGTTTTCTGACTCTCCATTTTAAATATATTATTATTATAGCTTGCTGGACTAACAGAAGGCTCCACTCCAGTTTCTTTAGCTCCCTAAAGTGCATTTTACAATATTGTTATATTTTTTATGATGATGATGATGATAAGGAGGAGGAGAAAAAAAAGGCTTGTATTGTAGTATTAATAGTAGCAGAAGTAATAATAACAACAGTAGTTGCGTTTCTTTCATTCAACGAGTTTAAAGAATTTTAAGGGAAAAAAATTATTGAAAAAATATTCACCCCCCCCTTTCTTTTTTATCTTTTTTTTTAGTTTCTATTTGTTGATTATGGTTTCTTTTTCCTTGCTTCTCTCTCTCTCTCTCTCTCTCTCTCTCTCTCTCTATCTATCTATCTATCTATCTATCTATCTATCTCTCTCTCTCTCTACCGCCAGAGTTATTTTCGTTCGTCGATCATTCTGCCAGTTCAACCGGGCATTCCATTCATTTCCCGCCATCTTTAGTCGATTCCCGCCAAACTGACGGCCGCCGCTACTTCTCGGGGTCAACCCAACCACTTCATCAATTTTTAACACGTTTTTATTTTTATTTTTTTATTTTTTTTTATTTCCAGATCCGAAAAACAACAATTTTTAACTCGGTCTTTTTAAGCTTCAGCCTGGTGAACAAAAATGTCCACCACCTGCCAAAAAAAGGAAAAAATTACAATTAAAGTTCTCAAAAGATAAAAGGGAAGTCCAAGTAAAAACTCAGCAAATTGGTAGTTAATCTCGCAAAGAGGCAGCCATAGAATGAATCAGCAGGGCAACCGGCAGGCTAGGTACAGATTCATCTTGTCACGTAAAAGAAATGTGGCACAAGGTCATCTTTACGTGGGAGGCTGGCAAAATACTATCTTCTGTTTCTCTGTGGGGTCCTACAACAGAGTAAATTGTTTCGTAAATAAGACAGATATTCAGTCTAGTATCTTCATTGTTGTTGTTTTCAACACGATAGTTCGACTGATGTGTTCTACGGCATGTCTCACTCGTTTACAGCTCATCTAATTTATATTTTTATCAAAAAACGTATAAAGACTGAAAATGTAAGCTAAGAATACCCTTGTTTGGTTTACAGAGCTGTGGCATTCTGAAAAATAGCCGTGCGAATATCAGTAAAATGTTCAGATGACTAGAGTTAGATATAAAAAACATCGCACCCTACTAACTCATTAAACTAAGAACTTTAAGCTTTTTATCTAATATATTTTTAAATCAATTTACCTAAGCAAGGCAATAATTCCACTAAGACGCAAGGGACTACTGGGGGTGAAAGAGAATGAAAAGACATGAGAAGTAACCGGAAATCCAATCCTAATCAGGAAACAAGCGATAAATCTTTACTCCTATAAAAAAAAACTGAGGAGGACTGTAAACCGGACGATAGGCGAACCTGTCTACTGAATGTGATTTTAATATATGTGTTCCTTACAGACGATAAACTACATCCGGCAGCAAGGACTCTGATCGGAAAATTGGAGGTTTTCAGGAGCGTGAAACAACCTTTTAATTGATGTTGTTCCCAGATCCACCCTGACCAGGTGTAGTAGCAACTGTTAGGGTCCCAGTTGTGGGCAAATGGTGAACACCTCATACAAAAATCAAAAGACTAGGAAAGTTTAAAAATATTTTTTTATAGTAAATATACTAGCAATACTTTTTTTTTTAAAAAACAATTAACAATACATTTAAAACTTTTAATAGAAAAAAAAAGCTTAATTAATCCCGATCATAATTCTTTTTTTCGAGTTTGTTACATTCACTTACACATAAATACTCTTGGGAAAGTTGTGTATCCATCTCTTTTCACCCCAACTATGGGTTAAATAACAGGAAAAACTGGGTTCTATAGCCTTGGGTAGCAACCAGTCTACCGCAGAAAGGAACGGCAGGAAGGAAGAAATAAAGAAAGGAAGGAAGAAATAAACGAAGGAAGGAAGAAATAAAGGAAAAAATAAAGGAAGGAAGGAAGGAAATATTTCTTTGGACAACCAAAATATGCCAATTATAAATTGGGGAGAACAACATAAAGCAAGTTCAACAAATTTAAATACCTGGGAAGTGTTTTAACAGAGGACGGAAAAATACGACACCGGAATCGAAAGACGCATTGGGACAGCCAAAGATGTCTTCCAAAGGCTAAGCAAAGCATTGAGAAATAAATAACTAAAATTACGTAAGAAACAAAGAAAGTCGTACTGAACTGTTATGCAATATCACTACTATGTAGCAGTGAATATCTCCTCGCAGATGAAGAAGAAACTCGAGGCAATAGAAACGTGGTTCTACAGAATGATCGGAAAATTCACATATTTGAAATTTGAATTAATTGCATATAGAAATTGACTGAAGAAAAACATATGGTCGAGAAAAAGAAATCAAGGCTCCACTTGATGTTACTGTCCTAAGCATAATAATCTGGACTGCAAACATGTTTGCCCTCTAGGATTCATGATAATTTTTTTCATTTTGATCTGTTTTAATTTCATAGGTCAATTTTTACTTCTTCTACTAATTGGCAATCAGGTCAATTTTTGCTTCTTCTTCTTCTTCTTGTCATAATAACTTGATATGAACAGATAGATAGATAGATAGATAGATAGATAGATAGATAGATAGATAGATAGATATAATAAACCTATTTAGATTAGCTGCAAAAAAGATTTTATAGATAGTCCGTTTGAATTAAATTTTATTTATAATGATAATTTTTTTATATATATATATTCTTTTTATATATAACGTTATATATTCATATATACATTAAATTTATATATATATTATATATATATATATATATGCATTTTATATATGCGATATATCATATATATTGAATTTTATATATTTTTTATAATATATATTTATATATATATATATATATATATTCATATATATATATATATATATATATATATATATATATATATATATATATTCATATATATATATATATATATATGATATATATAAATATATATATATAAAATGTTTATATATATTTTATTTATTTAAATATATATATATTTTTATATATATTATATTATATATATATATATATAATATATATTTCAGTATATATATAAATTCATATCTTTATATATAGATTTTATAGATATATATATATTCATTTATATAGATATTCATTTTTATATATATTCATATATAATATATTTTATATATATATATGAATTCATATATAGATAGATATATGATATATGAATCATATTTTATAAATATAATCAGGAATATATATAAGATATATGATTGTTATAGATTTATTTTGATGGTTATATATAGATATATGATGATATTTTTTATATATATTCATTGTATATATATATATATATATATATAAATATTTATATATATATATACCATATATAAGTTTGATATATTATGTTAAAATATTTATAAACGTTAATATATTTATATATAAATTTATAAACGTTTATTTATTTATTGGACAATATATATATATATATATATATGTGGTGTGTGTGTGTAAAATATGGTAATTTACGTTTGTTCATGTTCAGTCAAAGCGTCTTTTTACAACAATTTCATGTAGGTCGAAAAGACAGAAACCCGAATCTAAATATTGAAATTTTCACTACGAGGTGCTACCAAGATGTTCGGGAAATGTATTTTCTAAACCTATCCACCAATTAAAATAAAACTTCGATATTTATTTAAAAGATAGTTTTAGCGTGGGTGCACCGAAACTTCAAAGATGTAAGCAAATCACAGTTTGGACAATGAGATGTTATGAGATTTTCATTTGCTCCAGCATTTATTTTCCTTAAAAAAGAGAAAAATAATGTCTGAAAATTCGCTCGATGTTATGGACAAAGGTGTCAACTCAAATAAATTTGTTATCCGTCATATTTGAGAACTGCAGAATAACATTTCTGACGATCATGTGATACATGATTTAAAAAGGATTCCACAATAAAATAATGCCAAGTATTAGCATACATATTACTTAACATCCAAAACTGTTTAATTAGTACTTGTTGAGAATTCCATCTGTGCTTGTCCAAAAAGGTTATCAGTATAGTAATTCTCCACTAAATCATCTGACCTCGATTGCTATTAGGTGTGAAAACTTAGCAGAACTTTAAGTCAGATTTGGTAAATATTTGAAGAACTACAACTTTCATGACTATAAATGAGTACAGATTAGAAACCTTTTGAAACTTTATTCCTGCGCTAATTCTTAAATTTTTAATGATTGATGCACATAAAATGGACGAAGTGTAGATTTTGCCACAATAGCTATATAAACATTGTTCCGTTGGTTAGCTAGATAGATAATGGAAATAGAAATCATCGCTGCAGTAGCGTGCAGAAGTGGCGGAGGCAGAAGGTGCAACACACACACACACACACACACATATATAGATAGATAGTTATATTTAATTAATTTATTGAGTCTAAAAGAAACCTCAACAGAAAGCACTGGACGGCTGTTTCGTCCTATATTTGGGACTCATCAGCAGTGCGCATCCACTACCGAGAATTGAAACCCTGACAGTTAGGTTGTCAAGCAAACATCATACCAAATGGGCCTCGGTGACGAAGAGATTCCAAATCAGACTCAACTTAGCGCCGCTCGCTCACATATTCCGTGGTGGAACTCAACTGAGCTCTCTGTAACCATAGGACTGTGCCCCCTGGAGCCACGACTACTCTCACCAAGCCGCTACCACCTGGAGCATTAGAAGCCGGTTCAAGCGATGATAAACACAGATAGTAATTAGTAGGAGGATTTGATAATTATATTTAATTAATTCATCGATCGATAGATAGATAGATAGATAGATAGATAGATAGATAGATAGATAGATAGATAGATAGATAAGTAGGTAGGTATATAGAAATGTCTGTAGTCTATTGGTGAATATGTACGTTTTATTTAATGCTATTTACAGAATCCAATCTTACGCAGACTTTCATAATGCCTCCCTTTCCACCCTTGACAGGGTTTAAAAGCGATTACGCAGTTTTGTTGGGAGTGAAATATTTTCAACCCTACGGACCCTTTCCTCCGGATAAAACATCGCTATTCGATTGCAATTTCCATGCCAAGTGTTCAAACGACCTCCATTACTTTGTTCCAACAGGTGATAAATTTACGCCTAGGACTTGCCATGCCATGTACATGAAGTCGAATCATCCCCATTCCCTTTGTATTCCATAGGTAAGGAGGAAATTCCACAGCTTCTTCAAGGGAATGGCTACTTTGTGGGATAGACTCCCGAGAGGGTATTTCCTTGATCACGACAATCTTAACCCCATCAAGTTTAGAATGAAACAATATCTATCCAACATATCCCGCCTCATAATATGGATTTTCTTCTTCCCCTTATGTCCACACAACTTCACACAGTAACCTTCTGGCTTGGGTGGCGCTTAGGTCTTATATTGTAAAAAAAAAAAACACTGAGTTAATTTACAATTAAAAAGATTAACGTCTTACTCACTTATCTATTGATTTTCTGTTTTTTTACTGTTTATCAACATTTACCGGATTATTTAAAGTTGAACATATTTGGGATTGTAAGAAATTGTTTTTTGTTTTGTTTGTTTTTTTTTCAAATGAAAATTGCAATAATAATTATTTTTACAGATACAATTACTATTTAAGTCATAGCTGGAGGGATGGATTCATACTTACACCGAGGGTATTTGTGCCTAAGGGAATCTAACCAACCCGAACACGTTTCTCTGATTTCTCATTCCAAGTCGCTATACATTACACCACCTGCACAACTCAAAGAGTTGAGCCCTGTGTATTTTAAAGATGTCCAAATCTAAAATACACAGGATCGAGGAAAATGCAGAAAATAATATCCAAATTTTAATACAGCAACTTTACTAAATGTTTAAACAACTGACTCATTATTGCCTTGTCCCTCTTGAATACCTGAGAAGCGTTGAGGCCTTGCAGCATTTAACAGGAAGTGTCCATGATGGAAAATAGAAACATGGCTGCAAAGATCGAGAACGTTTGGGCGTAAACTAGAATCAAGGGAGACAACTGACAGCAGTTAGTCTTTTCTGATCTGAAATAGTGAAGGTTATCGGATGTTGGGCCGATAGTTTCAGTAGCAGAACCTTGAGGGAAAGGAAGGAAGGGAGATCTTCTTTGAAGTATTTTTGTTTAAGTCTTTCAAGAATTCAGCGGAACGTTAGTTGAGCAAGGTTAAGCTGAATGTTTGATCTTAGTTTTGATCCGTGTTCGATCCAAACATGTTTCAGTTTTATCACTGTGTATGATTCATGTTCATTTCCACCCCTCACTCTCAGAATTTTTCACTATATTATTTTCTCTCTTGTTTACTGTCTTTCCCCCCTCTTTCATTCGTGTTTACTCTCTCTCTCTCTCTCTCTCTCTCTCATTTTTCTCTCAGAATTTTTCACTCTCTTATTTTCTCTGTTGTTTGTTGTCTTTCTCTATTTCTCTCTTTCATTCTTGTTTACGCTCACTCTCTAAAAATTGGTCTCTCATTTTCTCTCTTGTTTATTGACTTTTTCTGTCTCCCTTTCACTCTTGTTTACTCTCTCTCTCTCTTTAATTCTCTCAGAATATTTCACTCTCTTATTTCCCCTGTTGTTTACTGTCTTTCTACCGCTCTCTGTCGCTCGTGTTTACTTACTCGCTTTCTCTCAGAATTTGACGCTCTCTTATTTTCTCAATTGTTTACTGACCTCCCCACGCTCTCTCATTCGTGTTTACTATCTTCCTCTCAGAATTGTTCACTCTTATTTTCTCTATTGCTTACTGACTTTCTCTTTCCTTTGCGTGTTAACTCTCTCTCTCTCTCTCTTTCTCTCTCTCTCTTTCTCTCTCTCTCTCTCTTTCTCTCTCTCTCTTTCTCTCAGAATTTTTCACTTTCTTATCTTATCTCTTGTTTTTGTCTTTCTCTCTATTTCCTTCATGTTTACTCTCTCTCTCTCTCTCTTTCTCTCAGAATTTGTCACTCTTATCTTCTCTTGTTTACTGTCTTTCTCTCTATTTCCTTCATGTTTACTCTCTCTCTCTCCCTCAGAATAGGATCAATCTCTTATTTTCTCTCTCGTTTGCTATTTTTCTCTATTTCTCTCTTTCATTCTTGTTTACGCTCACTCTCTCAAAATTGTTCTCTCTCATTTTGTCTCTTGTCTATTGTCTTTCTCTGTCTCCCTTTCACTTTTTTTTACCCTATCTCTTTTTTTTCTCTCTCTCAGAATTGTCCACTCTCCTATTTTCTCCATTACTTACTACCATTCTCCCTCTCTCTCTTTCATGCTAACTCTTTCGTTCTTCCTTTCATTTTTTTTCTTCTCAATTTTCGTTGTTTTTCCCTTGTTTGCTTTTCTCCATTTATATTGTTTTGTTCCTTTCTTTTCTCTCGTCTCGCTTTTCTATCGTTTCTCTCTTTTCCATGTACCGCTCTTTATGATCTCCTTTTCTTCAATCTTGTCTCTTCTTCTCCTTTTCCTTCTCTTTATTTTCGTCCTAATTCCCTTCCGCACACACACACACACACACACACACACACACACACACACACACACACACACTATCTACCTATCAACCTCATACTTTTCTGGCTTTCGATTATATCACGTTGAAACACCGATTCCCATATGATCATCGAAGTTAAGCAACTGTGGAGCCTGGCCCGTACCGAGATGGGTAGCCGCTTGGGAATACCAGGTTCTGTTAGCTTGGACATGCGACTTGTGCATTGGATGTGGGAATAATAAGAAATCAAAGAACCGTGTTCCAATTTCAAAAGATTTCATTATATTCCCTGACGCGTAAATACCCTTGGGAAAGGTATGGATTCATCTCTTCTCTCCCCAGCTATGGGTTAATTAATAAGACTGGTATCGCTAAAACATTATATCTTCCGCACCAAATAAAAATTCTTACAATGTAAAAGCATATTCTAACATGCAACTGGTTTATAAGCCGTAAAAAAGGAATCTAACAATGAAAAATTCCGATTTGCTGTTTGTTTTTATTTTATTTCTACTTATTTTTGCGTGTAACAGCGAAAATACTGATCGTTTAATTTCTTGCTTTGCATTGTCTGTTTTAAACAAAACTACTTTCATAGCTTCAGTTTACAAATACGATGGAGGTGCTGAAAACCAGTCTACTGCATGGATGCTTTAATGACCGCTACAATTTTGACCAATTCGAGTCAAAGGTCAATCGTAACCTAATCTCCATATCCTCATAATCTTCATTCCCTACTTACCCCGCTTACATTCTTATCACACACCTTATTCAGTCCCTCTACATTGAGTGGCTCTTTGGCAACATATTTAGTGGATATTAGTAGGAAAAAAATGACCAAAGATTTTTTAAATCCTTTCTTGGCCAGACCGAGAACTTTTCAGCAGACCTCGTTCTGTTCTTCTTACACTTTTCTTTCATAATTATTTAGAATCTGAAGCGTATTTGGATGTTCGGGTAACGCAACAGTTTTGGAAGTGATAATGGAATCAGCAAGCTGAGTTCAAATCCTCGCCTAGCCTGTTTATTTTCACTTTCGATCCACTACCTTCACCAGCTAGGGGTTACAGAGCCTTGGGTGGCAACCAGTTTAAGGCAAAAATTAATGGATTTATTTTTAACCTGACATTTTTATTACTTCAAACGTTATTATTAGTGCATACTCGTATTTTAAGATAGACGCTCCATTATTATTTTTAAATTCAAAAAGTGCGTATTATGTCTATTGGCCAGCTATCTAATGACTAACGGACGAAAAAGCATAATTATAAGATTTTTTTTATAATGAGGAGGAAAATAAAATTTATTTTATTTTTTTCTGAATTATAAAATCTTTTTTTTTATGTTTTTCGGTGGCTTATAAGAAAAGAAGTAATTCTAAAAAAAAGAAAAGCTGTTTGTCGCACAAAATATTATTATAGCATTAAAAAGTGCATTTAAAAAAGTGTATGTTTATATTTCTGTTGGGAAAAATTGAAGATTATATTTAATTGAAATAGTTGTTTTGTTTAACACCAATTCAAAGACAAGCCTTCTACAAATATAAAAAGAGAAAGAAAATCATATTTTACCAATTTTTCGTACCCTTCACTCACATTCTAATAATTGCAGGATTAAAAATTTTTCTCGCGATTAACTGAATATTACACAATTATAATGTTCTTATAGTAAGCGGAAAAGTGCAGAATTTTAACATTCATCTCGTGAGCGACAACATATTACTGAAATAGAATATTCTACCTTTGATCTTCTGCATATTACAGAAGTATAATGTTCTTCCCGGGTTGTGCTTCGTCCTGGGTAAGACGTTAAACTACACCCGTGTCCTGGGTAAGACGTTAAACTACATCCGTGTCCTGGGTAAGACGATAAACTACATCCAGCAGCAAGGCCACTGATCAGGAGTTTTTGAGGAGCGTTAAACCACCTCTTAATTGCTGGTGTTCCCAGGTCCGCCCTGACCCAAGGTGGTAGCACCTGTTAGGGTCCCAACTATGGGCAAAAAGTTAACTATTACCAGCAATACTTTTTTGAAAAAAATGATTACCAGCAATACAATTTTGAAGGAAAAATATTACCAGAAACAGATTTTTGACAAAACAAAATATTACCAGCAATAAAAAAAAATGCTGTCGGTATTAAATAACCCATTGAGGTTGATGTGCCGTAAAACAAAATAAACTAAACCAATCTAAACCAAAGAATACATATTCTATTCATACGGATCTATCCTAAAAATGTTGTCGGCATTAAATAACCCACTGAGGTTGATATGCAGTTAAACAAAATAAACCAAACCTAAACCAACCGGGTCATTTAATGCTTTACCAATGATTTTACCAGTATTTCCGTACTCTCCAGTTGGCATTATAATAATTGCAGGATTACAATTTTTTTCTCGGGATTGACTGAATATTACACAATTATAATGTTCTTTAACTTGATATACTGAACAGTGCAGAATTTTAATATTCATCTCGTGAGAGACAGAATATTACTGAAAAATAAGGCACCATGGAGTAATGGGTAGCGTCTCAGATTGAGGAATCGGAGAGACGAGTTTGAGTTCCAGTCAAATCCATTATATTGACTTAACGTGCTAATACCCTTGGGAAAGGTATGAATCTTCTTCTTCTCCCCACAGACCGGGTTCTATAGCCTTGGATGGCAACTGGTCTACAGCAGAAAAAAATGGCAACCTACTGCGGGAAAGAATCTGCCTCGTCAGTCATGTATCGAAAGATACATAATCGCCTAAACGTGTATCACGCATGGCACATAACTGACTGAATATCCTACTTGTGATCTTCTGGACATTACTGAATTATAATTTTCTTCACGGGCTGGGCGGAACATTGCAGAGTTATAATGTTTATCTTGTGAGCGACTGAATATTACAACGTTATAATGTTTATCTTGTGAGCGACTGAATATTACAACGTTATAATGTTTATCTTGTGAGCGACTGAACATTACAACGTTATAATGTTTATCTTGTGAGCGACTGAATATTACAACGTTATAATGTTTATCTTGTGAGCGACTGAATATTACAACGTTATAATGTTTATCTTGTGAGCGACTGAATATTACAACGTTATAATGTTTATCTTGTGAGCTTGAAAATATTACTGACAACGTTATAATGTTTATCTTGTGAGCGACTGAATATTACAACGTTATGTTTATCTTGTGAGCGACTGAATATTACAACGTTATAATGTTTATCTTGTGAGCGACTGAACATTACAACGTTATAATGTTTATCACGAGAACGACGAATTACAGAATTTTGCTTATTTGTTTAGTGACATATCAACTCATTATGGGTCATTTAATACCAAAATTTAATTTTTGAGGGAACATTTTAAATTTTTTTTTAGAAAAATATATTCCCGATATCTTTATACTTTCATAGTGTTTTCATCCAAGCTTGAAGTTTCGATAATTGCCTGTAGCTAGGACCCTAACAGGTGCTGCCATCATTACAGAATTATAATATTCATCCTGTAAACGACTGAACATTAAAGAGCAATTTACTGAAAATTATTCATGTAATAAAATATTTAATTATTTCTATTTTCATCCATTTGATCAAATGATTCTTGAAAATATTTCGCATTTAGATATTTTAGAGGGCAGAAATTTAGTCAAATTTGGCTTTTCCTGCAAAAATACAAAAACAAATGACATCTTTCTTCTTCGCTTCCATTTTGAAAGATTTTAGTGGAATATTGTTTTTTTGTGTGTGTGTGTTTTGTTTTTGTTTTTTTTTCTAATTTCCTTTTTAATTTACCGTATTTGAGCTCTGACATCGACCAAAATTTAACTAAATCTACAGAAATCTGGCAAATTAGAAATGAATATTTGTACTTCTCTCAGTCAATTTCTCTTAATTTTAAATTTAGATGAAAATTCGATTTTTAGTCAAATTATAGAATTATTTCACCTGCGACCACAACATTTTGACCCAGTCTGTCTGCAATAGTCTAAAAAAGTATAGGAATCTTAGATTACCTTAAATCTTGTATTCTCATTTCCTCGTTTTGATAAAGCTAAATTTAATAGCTTCCTTAAAATACATTTGACTTTTTACGCAAGTGAATCTTACGGTCGACAATTTTGCGGATACTATAGATAACGGAAAAACATCTATTGGATCTTTATTGATAGAACGGATGAATTTTTACTGCCTTAATACAATTTATACAGGGTATCCCAAAAGTTACGCTCCAATTGGAAGAAAACGTATACTTGTGAAATAGCAACCAGAAAAATTTTATGAAATCATCTTCCATGATTCGACCACTAAAATGTTCTAATAATATATTGTCGCTGAAACTGTAGCGTAGTTATAACTCTGATTAAATAATTATAAACTCCCAAACATTTATATATATATATATATATATATATATATATATATATATATATAACTACATTTATATATATATACATTTATATATATATATATATTTTATATATATATATATATATATATATATATATAATTATTTATTTAAAATATGATTCCAACTCGCGACATAAGAGGTCTCATGTTTCAAAAAAACAAGAGCCGAAAACTTCAATATAATTATTTGAATTAAATTGAGTTAAAGTAAGCTCTGTTCCATCTTCAAGCGAAATTTTTTTGGGAATAACTTATTTCTGAAATTTACGTGTTTTAATAGTTTTAATAATTGAAATCAAAATTTCCATGGTAACAGCTAGGGCGAATTGTTTAAATTAGTTAGGGGTGTGTTGGGTGTTAATAATAAGTATCAGTATAGAGTTACTTTCATAGATGTCAAGTCAGGGAAAGGTGGGGGGTGTCTAAATTTGAAACGGAAGATGTTTTAACCCTAGTCTGGTTTACATGTGTCTATGGAGATTTATTTATTTTTTTTTTTTTTTTTATGAAAGGGATTTGTGTATATAAAAAACTGCCGTAACATTTGTTTTTGACGACTTCATAAAGGGTTATTTTTTTTTTTGTAGGGTATTTAAACTATTTATTTGGGCTATGGATTATAAAAAGTTATTATATTGTATGCTTTGTTTTAGCTAATTATTCAAACCATAAATTTGATGATGTATATAAAAACCGTTAACTCGATTCTATTGTTTAATTTTTTTTTATTATTTAGAAACAAAATTGCAGTTTCTAAACAAAAACTGTTAAGTCATGTCTATTACATTTCTGGTTTATTATTTTTAAATTAATAATTGTATTTATATATACTTTTTATATCGATCATATATTTTTAAAAAAATTTGTGTCAAAACGGTTAAAATGAACCTTGGATTCTTTTATAAATAACAGTTTCTTTTTATATTTTTATATATTTTTTAAACAAAATATATATATATATATATATATACAATATATATATATATATATATATATATAAATTTAAAAAAAACCTAGTTTGTTCCACGTTTTCTCCCCTTCTTTCTTTTTTTCTTTTTTTTTTCTGTTCTCAATCCTCCCATTTCAACATCCTTTTCATGCGTTAAGTTAACCGTTTAAATAGGTCAAGGTTCGGTTTTTTAAAAATCAATAAAAATAAAATGATTAAAGAAATATTAAATACTGTTTCTTAAACTCGACCATATCTTCACGTCTCATAAAAATCATTTAAAAAATGTATATTTATATAGTTACTTAATATATATATCAAAAATATAATTTTCATTTCATCTTTCGTTTCATTTTTTGGAAGTGTTTTTGAAATCCAGCGTGAAAAAAAAGGCTCTGGTGAAATAAATTATTATAATGGAACCTTTTTTAACTATAAATCTTTTTTTTTTAAATTTTTAATGAAATATTACATTGAACCTCCTTAAAAATAATGGATATTTGAAATAAAAACCAAGTTTTTTTAAAACAAATATATATATATATATATAAATATATATATATATATATATATAAATATGTATATAAATGTGTGTGTGTGTGTGTGTGTGAAACACAACTGTAAAATGAAAGAAAATGAATCTAAATTTAGGAGTTGCTTTTATATGGTTTGGACACACCAATTATATTAAATGTAATACTGACAGTAAAAGGGAGTTTGGTGTTAAATTTAGATCAAAAAAAATATTGAAAACCGATAAAAAGGAAAATGATGAAAAAAATTAACTGTTTTCCAATTTCTTTTTTTTTAAAAATAAATTTAAATCAGTGTCAGATAATTTAATTGGAAGAATGCAAAGTGTCTGGAATAATTTATTTTTTTTTATTAATTTTGTCACAAGTAATTAAAAGATAATTTTACTATCATAAAAAAAAAAAAAAAAGAGAGAAAATGTTATATCGATGTTTTAATATTGACAGAAAAAAATGTTTACTACTTATACGTTTGTAAAAATTTATAACGTGTTTGTTCAAAAAAAGGAGAAAATAAAAGATGGATTCTCATTGGTTTATTTTGAATGAATTAATTATAATTATAACTAAATAATAAAAATTTTTATTATATTTATAAATAATTATTTTTTCACACTATATGAAAAAGTTTATTTATTTAGTGATATGTAATTTGGAAAGGGATATATTTGAATATATATATATTTAGTGGTTTTTATAAAATATATAACAAATAGAATATTACCAATTAATCGATTATTTTTACGTCGTAGTCGCAATTTAAAAAAATTGTAGATAAATATATAGTCCAATGGGCATCATTATAGACTCAAAAATCTCAAATAAAAATAAGGTTGA